AGAGCTGTTACATGTTGCAGCATAGCAAGGAGGGGCTGATCACAGCCTACAGATGTGAAGTGCAGCTGGATTTATTAATTTGCCATGATAAACATGAGGTGGCAATGCTAACCCCAGCCTAAGCTGGCAAGTCCCTTGAGCTGTGTGGGTTTATCCAGAAGGGCAGCGGAACCAGGTCACAGAGGAACGTATGCACGGGGGGCTGGGAGAGACAAAATCTCATTTGATATTGCTTGTACAAAAAACAACATTTTTTTTTTCTTTTTTTTTTTATGGTAAGAATCATTAAGCAGAGTCAAAATTACAAAGGTTTTTTTGACAACCACCATAATCTGAAAGTTAAGTTTTGTGTTACTGCATTTTACCAGTGGCCAGTGAAAACTTTTGGGGTCCAGACACCTCACCACAGGCATATGGAGCAAGACTGCCAATGCCACGGCACTCCTCTGACGTCGTGGCTGCTGCTAGGGTCTGGCATGCCAGTGCCCAGGTTAGGAGTTGTCTCTGAGAAGCTTTCTGTGAACACATTTGGTTGTTGGGTTAGGAAGAGCTTTGGAAAGGGTGGCTCTGTTGCCGTTGGTGATTTTTCTGAAGGTGCTGTAGAAGACAGCCTGTCACTTCATGACTGCATACGATCAGATTTTCTGTGAGTTTTGCTATGTCCAAGAACAGAGTACTTTTCAGCAGCTTTAAAATACCAGCACTTTAGTATACTGTCTGGGTCGTTCTGCAGCTATTGCCAGAAATTGCCCTAATTGCCCATTTGGAAGGAAGAATAGAGATGTGTCAGGTTATGCAGGATTGCAGCGCAGGTGATTCTTAACCTGCAGGTGGAAAATGATTGAGTATCTGGCTTTGTTACTGTCTTTCGTTGCTTGTGGGTTTATCGTCATTGATGATATGTATTTTATTTGGGTGTTTTACGAGGAGCTGCTGGTTACAAATAACCAGTAATCTCTTACTCTTCTCTGATATCACTCAGTTGTATGTGTGTGTGGCCAGGTGCAGGCTGTGTGTGTTAGCATGATGTGCACATGCTTTGTACCAGAGACCTTCTGTGCCTTGCGGAAGAGAAAAAGCAGCCGTTTGTGATGTGTCGTGGGCTTATAGTAATTGCAAGTCAATAAGATGAAGTTATTGGTCATGTTTTGTGCCCAGCTGTCAAAGGCAGTTCCTGAGTTTCCTGTCTGCCTCTTTCACAATTTTACCTTTCCTCTGAGTAAGGAGAACATTGACTTTTTTTCAGGTATCCCTTGGGTCAGCTTCAGTGATATCCTGTCCCATCTCAGTTGTATTTGCTGCCTCTCTTCAGTGAGGCTGAGATCTGTTCACTGCCAACCCTCCAAGCTCTGGTGGAGCCTGCAGGCTCCTCCACTGCATGCCTGAGCAAACCTGTGGACAGGATTAAGCCCAGTTAAATTCATGTTCTGGAGGAGGAGAAGGTGTAACTGCGGTAACATCAAATTACAAATTTGGAGCTAGATGCAATTTTGTGCAGTCTGAGGGCATTCAAACACCTGTCAATGCCACGCCTGGGCTGTAAACTGTGGTCAGTTGACCTAACCTCCCCATTTTGCTGCTTTGAACTTTCTAGGCAGGTACTGGCTGATGGCACCACAGTCCTTCTAATGCTGGGGGGGACCTGCTTAAAACCAAAATCTTAACATGAAGATTTTAAAATTTCCTTGCGATGTGTCATTTCTTGTAGTCAGTGAGATAAAAGGTGGATATGCAAAATATCCCAAACAGCCACTACCTAAATTCTTAAGACCTGAGAGCACATTAGTAGCCTTGCTGCACAGCTCCTCTTTGTGGAGTTACCTGGTTTGGGTTTTCTGTTATTTTAAAATGTAAGTAGCAGATATGTTCAGTATCAAAAAGCTGCTGCTTGTCAACAGTAGTTATAAAACCTCATAGCATGGACACGTCTGTACCCCCGTAACTGAGCCGTGACTGGTAGTGCATGGGAGCAAGTCGGTGACAAAGCTGCTAGAGAGCTCCTAGGGCAGGCTGGGGTCAGGAGTACTGTGTGGTAGCTTCAAATGCACACGTGTACTTTCCAGATACCCTTATCGCTCCAAAGCAGGGTGCCATGTTCCAGTCGCTGGGATTGGTGGGACTTTGTTTGTTTTCTTGAAAATTAGTATCTGGTCCACAGTTCTGCACTGGTGGGTGGTCACTGGGAAGCTTCACTTCTCTAGTCTACCAGAAGCCTGAAGGTAGTTCCTCCTGTGGTTTGGGCAGAGATTTCTCAGAGTTAAGAGGCAAGACAAAAGATTGCAAGATGAAAGAAAGGTGACATATTGGAAATAACACCCGCTCTGCTTCTCTTGAGCTAGTGTTGAGCTTGGTAACCGCTCTTCAGGAAATTTTAAACAGTGCACCACACCCTAAATGCAGAACTGAAGTCATTTTGGAGGAGATGAAGGTGCGGACAGGTGGAATGTCTCTGTGGGACCATGGAGGAAGCAGACTGCTTCATGGGTGCTTCTGTAAAAATGGAGCATCCCATAAGATGGGAGAAGTGTCTTGCAGATGCCTGAGCTAGACTTAAGACCTGTCCTTGACAGGCACAGTTTAGCAGTAGCCAGAGAGACCAAGAGTGTCATCTGATTTTCTTCTCCTGCCTTTTGGTTTGGATGGGAAGAAAACAGAGCCACTCCTGAAGTCTCAGAGAGGCTCATGCCCTGCAGCACAGTGCACCAGCACACACATGTTTCAGGTGGCAGCAAGAAGCCATCAGTAAGACTGGTGGTGGTTTAATGAGTGTTTGTAAATTAAAAGTGCTGTGGGGACATGGAGTACTCCTGACTGCTCAGAAGGTCATCTTGGTTTAAATATGATCTTCAGCTGGTCATGGTTAACTTTACTGGTGTAAGTGCTGGTAATAGATTGTGCTGGAATTGGTAAAGACAAGGCAGCAGCAGAGCAAGAAGCGGGGAAGGAGGTGACAGTTTTTACTTTCTAAACTCGTTCTGCTGGGTCCTTGTCCCACCATTAGCACTTGCTGTGGTTTGTTGTTTGAATATCACAATGTTAGTTAAAGTTTAATTGCTCTGCTAGCTGTAAACCCCTAGTTCACTGCATGCTTTTTTAAGTTTGCAGAAGTTACAGAGTTGTTGGTGACACGGAGAGACACTGCAAGTCATGTAGCTGAGGCAGAAGGTCAAGGAAGCTGCAAGGAGTGTGGCACTTCATTCCCCAAAAAGCATTTGCATGAACAGACACAACTTCAGTCTCCTGGTCCTTGCCTCACCCTTTTATGCATGCCAATGAGCTGATTTGAAGAGAAGTTTGATCTCAGCCCTGAACGAGGTAGTGTGGAGCTTCTAAAACAAAAAGGAGTTGCACAGCAATATGTCAGGGCAGTATGCTTCTGACAGTGCGCTAAAAACCTACCTTGGCAGCGAGTTGTGGAAAAAGAAGGCAGTAGAAACACATGGAAATAATATGGTGTTTATATAAAAAGTAAGAATGTGACTGAAATCCTGTTGTGCTTGTGGAACCACAACTCTATGTGCAGTATTTATAGCTGTGTGCTCATTTGAATAGAAGTGACACTAGCACTAGAGAAGTTATCAGTGTGCGATGGTCACACTGGGAGGTTTTCCTGAACCCTTTCCTGTTGCTAAATGCTGCTAGTGCTACACAGATGCAGGAAAAAGACAGTATAATACAAAAAACCCAGTCATGATCTAGAAAGGGTAAGGGCTGTGTGTAGGTGCAGAGCGTTGTGCCAAAATTTTCTGGCTCTTTCCTTCATTCTTCTGTTCATCTTCCGTACATTGCAGGGTGAAAGGGCTGATGGTTCTGTATTTTTTGGTAGCCAGAATACCATAAAACCTATGCACTTGCTTTAAACGGGGTATGCTGGAGGTAGGAGTGTTTTGGGTTTGTTTTCTATGCTGCTCAATTCTACGGAGTGTTAAACTGACATTTTAACCCTTATTTCAGACACAGTCATAGACATTCTCTTCTAAAGCTGGTAAGGGCAGACCAGGGTAGCCCAGGGAACTGGTCTCTGTCTGTGTCTGAATCTAGACACTGTAGACAAACAGCTGAGCTCTGTTGCAATGCAAAATCCATTGCTGTCAGATTGGAAATGGAGCCTGAAATAAAAGCAGGTCTGCATTTGGGTATTTCCAGAGGCTTGGGTTAATAGAAAAAGATGTGTTTCATTTGTTTGTGTATTTGAGAGTGCTTCGAGGGTAAAAATGTACAGTTTTGTGAATGCACTTTCTGTCCATTCATATGTGAAGGGCAGAAGTCCTTCCCTAAAAAAATTCATGGATCTTTGGCAGAGATGCTGTTGCTGATGTTCCAGTCTGGCAGTTTCCTCTGGGCAGGTTGCTTGTCCGTTAGAGGAAAGGTGGCAGTGACTCTTGGAGGGCTGGGTGATGTTAGGGCCCAGTCTCTCCAACTCAGCCAGCCCTAGGCTCCGTGTGGCTGTGCGAGCTCCTCTGCGGTCCACCCCACCCCACCCCATGTTCTGCTGCAGTTGTCAGGTGCTAAGCAGCAGGTGAAGACCCGCCCGGTGCTGTGTGCCACTATCAGTAATTACATCATTTGAAGTCAAATTTTTGTCCTTCAACCATTCAACATTAAAGAACCTCTCTCTAGGAAATAGATATTTACATTAATAAATTTATAAAACACATCAGTTTTGAACTCCATAATGCGACTTCATGAATGATAGAAAATTAATCTTCAGTGAGTAAACATCCATCAGTGCTTGACATCTAAATAATTCATAATCTTCTCCCACGAGTGACCAGCTAGCAGTTCAGATATGTGTGATTTTAAGTGAATGGCTCTTTGAAAGCACGTGGCTATGTTTGGTTTCCCTAACAGATAGTTCCGTTTCCTAAAATTATGTGATGCTGATAATTTTGTTTTAGCTATTTAACCACTGTTAGGAAAATTAAATTCACAGTATTTAAAAATTACTTGCTAATCAACTGTTGTGTTTTGTTCTTTGGATTATTTTATCTCTAGATCAGTCGTATTGCCAACGGCTACAGCATGACATGTATTTTCTTACAAGCAACAGCCGACTGAACGAGCAAGTGGTTGATAAAATTATCCTTCAGCTTAACAGAGTCTACCCTCAAATTCTTACTAATGCAGAAGCAGAAAAGGTAATTTGGTGTATTTCACTGTATCTCTGAATGTTGCATTGCGTTTGTGGGTCAGGAGCTCAGCTGCCCTCTTCTGGACTTGACTCTTGGTGCCACGTGCAGCCGGTCTTCCTCACCTCTTACTTGCTGACCAGTTGTATCTGGGATCTCATATCAGAGAAGTCACAGGACTGGCACATTCCCTGGGCCAAGTGATGATGAGAGAGAGCCCTCTTTTTGGCAGCACCTTAATGCCACGGTCCCCGCTGTGACATCTGATGCCCCAGTTTGCTGGAGTGTGCTATCTTATAACCACTTTATGGGCAGGATTGTGCCCATCATGTGCCCAGACGTGCTGCGTGCCAGCCTCCTCACGAGTCCTTGTGGAGTGGAGTGTCAGATGATCTGTGCTGCATCCAGCTGTGTCCACAGAAACATCTCTATTAGCTTAGTCAGTTTTAGTTCCTGATTAATGAGATTAATAATTCTGAGTATTGGTAGAGAAGGGAGTCATTAGTCCCACCTGTCAGTGTGAGAGCTGTGGGAAGTGAATAGACTTAGTAACATCTTCCAGTGGTACCACTGTGGAGGGAGGAAGGCAGCCCTTGCTGGCATGAAACTTTCAAAAATGGGTAGCTGTTTCTAGGGAGAAAGATATTTTACATTTGTGTGGAGTGAAAGTTAAAGTCAGTTCAAAGCTTCATAGATCCTATTTACAACAATTTGTACTCACGTCTTTGTCTGAAGAAGGCTCTCAGAGTTTTGGCATATCTGTGTTTTAACATTACGAAAAATAGGTCTAATTCTGTCATAATCAAACTTCATGGGGGCAAATAATGTTTTAGTGGTGTAGAGCAGTGCTGGATCCTGTGGCAGTCTAGCCTTTCAGTTACAAACAATGTGACATGCATAATTAAAAATCATCTCATTCCCTCAAGAGCTTCAAAATGAATGCATAAATATTCTATGAAATGTAATTTGTGACTTCTGCACTTAGCAGACAGAAGTGAACTGCTTTTGCACAGGTCCAGGCAAGTTTCTGTCAATGCTGTTGACTATTTAGGAAGCTTACAATCTCAGCTGTATCTGGTAGAAGTTGTGGGAATTTTGTCTAGAATAAAGATGTAAGGTGTGTGTTCCATTCCTGTCCCCCTAGAGCAGGAACTGATTCTAGCTAAGTAGACTACAAAGGTTATCTGCTGTCCTGGTCTGGAATTCAGTGCTTTGCTGGGAATAATTTTGGACATTTTCCAAATAAACTGAAATCAGTTTGATGCTTGTAAAGCCAAGTACATATTTTCGTTCTCTTTGTGAGGTCTGATAATATTGATTACATTTAGGGCTACAGAAAAAAAGTTACTTTCTTCTGCTGTTTGCCATTTTGCTTCAGTAATGAGAATTTGTACGTGTTGCACTGGGTACACAGCAGTTAATTGTGCTGGGAACAGTGGAACGTAATCTTTGGGTGATGAACACTCCAATATTGAGACTAATACAAGCAGTATAAGCGACCTTTCTGAGTGATGATTACTGGGCAACTAAGGGAAAATTTGAAAATGTAAAGTTCTATTATAAGATTTGTTGGTATTTTCTGTCAACAGCTGTCAGAATCAAATTGCAGCATAGCAAGGATCATGTTAGTTTGAATGCAGAGGAAATGTGAAACTCAGAGTAGCTGTCGCTTGATTGGGACAGAAGAAGGAACCAGGGAAGGCAGAGGCAATTCACCCTCCATCAAGCAGTGCTGACCAGATGGAGCTTGGTGTCTTGAAGCTGTGCAATGCATGTATGTCCTGTTAGGTTCCCCTCATTTTATTGGCCCATTCCATTCTTTTAGCAAATATAAAACCAGCTATGTATCTTCATTCCCTAGCATACTGTAAAGTGATGTAAAATTGATTTCCAGGAGTCTCTCTTCTGATAAGTGCCTTTCTCTTACAGTTCAGGAATCCAAAGGCATCACTCCATACCAGACTTTCAGATCTGATAAAGCACCTTCAAAAGAAAGGAGACAGACACTGTCAAGAATTTTACAGGGCTCTACAGATCAATGCTGAACAGCTGTATAATGACCTGCCAAGCAGGAAAATCTTGAGTAAGTTGATTTGTAAGTTTGATTGAGTTGTGAACTTCTACATCAGTGTGTTACAGAACTTCATTTCAGATGACATTTATTTAAATAATCTGCTCCTGTAATTTAAATAGTTTTGGGGGCATAACTTTAATTCCTTCTGACTGAAATTTTCCAAAAGCCATAAGGACATTACTAACCTCAAATTTGCTAAATTCAAAACACTGATGGCGGAGAAGTTGGTCTTTCCCTCAAGCTGTAAATCTCCTAGTTGTGTCTAGCTGAACATGAAGCAAGCATTCATAGGCCATTGCAATGATGAACTGTGATATTAATCAGGGCTTATTTTGTGCAGCTGACAGGCCTGACTGATGTCTGTAAAGTTGCCACTCCAATTGTACATTTATAGGTTCAGAAGAACTGAGGCTCAAACAGGTTTGATTCTATACTGCAAAGGAGTTCATGTCTTTATAGAGAAGTACCGAGCCTGACTTGCCAACCTGGGATAATGCTTACTAGGTGTTGTTTTTGGGTTTTGGTGGTGCGTGTTTGTTGTTTTTTTTTTTTTTTTGTGGGGGAAAGACAGGGTGTCCTACCTAACAAGCTGGGAAAAAAGCAAATCTTCCAAATGGATGGGAGATGCATTCAGACATCCCTTATAATGAAATGACTTGAGGAGATTGAGGGAAAGCTCCCACATTTAAATTAATGAAGCTGCAAAGGGACTGCAGTTTAAGAAAACCTTATGAAGTGTCTAACAGCGCTAATACTTTACTGGTCATTTGATTTCTAGTTGTACGAAACTCCACAGTTAGGTGCCAGGGGAAATTTTAGATGTGGGTCAAACTCCAGTGAGGTTCAAACTGTTACACCAGAAGTCCATGAATTTAAAAGAAAACCCAAACCCAAACAGTTAGTCCTCTTTTACTTCTGGAGTGAAAATGGCTTGTAAAACTGTAATTACCTTTGAAGGTACTGCCTTTTCTAGCTTTGTTTCACCTTTCAATTTAAAGAAAACATTTTTTTATCTACAAATACATACTGGTGGAAGACAGCACCATTTTCCTGCCTGCACAGTCAGACTACAAAGTTACCCCAGGTCTCCACATCCATAATGAACCCTCTTGAAATGGGAAACTCTGGGCCTGTCCCTGCCTCAGTATCTTGACTGCACACAAATCCCAGTTCAGCCTAGTGCTTTTTAGGGCAGTGCTTTTGATATGATATTCACCTTGCAGAAGTTGTGTCCTTTGAAGGAAGCAGGCTTTTAAATCAAATAGTCTTAGATCTGTTGGTTTTGCTCAGGTAGAGCTCAGGAGCAACAGCTTTTTCTGCCAGGCTGACCAGAAGGCAGCAGACACCCATTATTAATCAAGAGTAACTAGGAATAAAATTTTAAGGATACATTGGTGGTTTAAGAGTTTAAGCTCTGCTAATGTGCAATAACACCTTCTACAAAGCCATTTCTGAAAATATATTTTAACATATTTGTGTACACAGTATCCAGGGCCTGACTGCATCCCATATAGATGCTCTAAGTTCAGTTGGCTATTAGGAGTAGCATAGCTGTGGCCAAGCTTGGCCATACCCATGAAACTCCCATTGGTAGCTGTGCACATATTGCAAAGATGAACTCTCACACTGCCTCATACCCTTGTCATACCTGGACAAACCAGATGAAAGGAAACACATGGAGGCTGTCCACATGGTATTTTCACTTTTAACTGGAGTGTAAACATGCTTGTCCTTGCACCTGATTGATGTAGTTACTTCTGAGAGCTTTTACTCAAGTAGCCCCATGGGTAGAGAGGGTTAGGGTTTCTCATCTTCAGACTGCACATAAGTACATGTGCAAGAAGTGCATCACATAAAAAAAATGGATTGGGTGAATGATAAACATATGTGCAGCATTTTAAGCTAAAACGACACACAATTTTATTCTTCAGGAAATCTCCCTTTTCAGTGTGCGATGTTACTTCTCATTTAAGTTTGACTTCTCATTTTACTTGAACATTTTGAATGTTAAAGGCTTATCCTTTCAGACTCGTAACATGTACAATTTTTATGTTACTCAAATGTTACTCATAGCAGTAGTTGTTAAATTTAACAAATTTGATGCAGAGCATCAAACTAGGGTTTTTAAATGTGAAGAAAAAAGGGAACCCCTGACATGGGGACTTTGCTCTAAATGGAGATTGAATTGAAACAAGCAGCATTATAAACACCTGGATAAATTATTGGTGATGTCACTAATGAACTATGGCCAGAACAGAGTTCTGTAATAGGTTACTTGAATCTGTACATGTGGAGAATATTTTCTACAGAGGAAATCCTTTCAGAGATTTGTTTTTCATTTTTAAAACAACTTTAAAGTTTGTTGTAGAACTAAATTTTTTTGCCTCGAGTATAGTACTGCAAGTGCAATGTTTGGTAATGTCTCGAATTCCCACTAGAGGGTGAGTGAGGCACATGGCATGGGAACCTTCAGAGCTCTTTAAGCCAAACGGGATGTTCCAAGGGCCTCAAAATGTTTTTATTTCTCTCAATGCTAACACACACTAGAAAGACAGAGGATCAGATCAGCCCCACACAATGACAGGCTGACAAAAGTGCAGAGATTTGGCTGTGCCCTCCTGTAAAGGCTGTGGATTTCTTTAGCTGGAGCACATAGTGAGGACATCCCTCAAAAATGGACAGGGATGTAAGATTGCCATTGATACAGACTACACCATGGAGGCTTTGTGGCAATCCTTTCTGCTTCAGTGATTCTCAAGCTTTGCAGCAAAGTGCTGCACATGTTTCTGTTCTGCTTGAGCACCATGCCCCATCACCCCACCAAGAGGGCCGTATTTAGTATGGGAGGTGGATGTTCAGCATCTAATGTTGGCTGACAGCAGGTCCCCTTTGCTGACTTGGTGTACAGGGCAGGTTTCCAACGCACCTCACCTAGCCCCAGATTGTCGTGTAGAACGAGGAAATGAGTTGCAACAAAACAGTCTCAGATTCTTCATATTGACAGCCAGATTTGGAGCTCTCACTTTTTTTTTTTTAATACTTTTTATTATTTCAACCCCCTGACCAAAGGTTCTGCAGACGAGTGTCATCTCCATGTCTGTATGGCAGAGGCACCTCTAGAAGTGCTGCAGGTCTTTCTGCCTGAAGTAGGATCTGCTTTATTCCTACTAGCTGCTGAACACCTTGTCTTAAGGTCCTTTTCTACTAGAATTTGCAGAAAGATAGAGGCAAAAATTATGTACCAGGTGTTAGCATGTAGTACCTGCAGGCTTTGAAAGAAGCTGTACGTGGTTTTAGCTGAGACCAGAATTTAGAAAAGTAATCTGCACCAAGCAGTTTATTCCAAGGGGTTCACCTGCTAACTACATTAATGCCCAGAGATTTACTCCAGAACAGAAAGAATGGTGATGCATTTGATTATAGGGGTGTTTTCAGATTAGCACATATATGAGCAAATAGTTTGTAGTTATGACATTGAAAATTTCTGGCATTATGGAAAGATTAGCTCCTGCTTTCCTCACTTGGAAAACAAGTAATAGAATCATAGAATGTCTGGGCAGGAAGGGACCTCCAAAGGTCATCTAGTCCAACCTCTCTGCCATAAGCAGGGACATCTCCAACTAGATCAAGCTACGCAGAGCTTCATCCAGCCTGATCTTGAATGTCTCCAGGGATGGGGCCTCCACCACCTGTCTGGGCAGCCTGTTCCAGTGGTCTGTCACCCTCATACTGAAGAACTTTTTCCTAATGTCTAACCTAAATGTACCCTTAAAGCCATTACCCTTCATCCTGTCACTCCAAACCCTTGTGAATAGTCCCTCCCCTGCTTTCTTGTAGGCCCCTCTCAGGTACTGGAAGGTCACTATAAGGTCCCCCCCAGAGCTTCCTCTTCTCCAGGCTGAACAGCCCCAACTCCCTCAGCCTGTCCTCACAGGAGAGCTGCTCCAGCCCTGTGATCATTGTTGTGGCTCCCCTCTGGACATGCTCTGACAGCTCCACATCCTTCTTGTGCTGGGGGCTCCAGAGCTGGACACAGCACTCCGGGTGAGGTCTCTCCAGGGCAGAGCAGAGGGGCAGGATCACCTCTCTCCATCTGCTGGCCACGCTGCTTTTGATGCAGCCCAGGATTCAATTGGCTTTCTGGGCTGCTGCTGCACATTGGTGGCTCATGTCCAGCTTCTCATTTACTAGTGCCCCCAAGTGTCATGTCACCTCCATGGTTAGTGCTTGACCAGATCAGAGGTGTTGATGCAGCTGCTTCTAGTTGGCGTTCAAAGTACTATGTGCCTATGTCTTTTGATCAACACATATCCAGATGTAACTGTAGTGATAGTCGACCTTTGGAGGTGTTAATATTTTATGTCAAAATTAGACGTTTTTTTGAAATGTGTTTTTTGCGCAATTTTGCATGTGCTGATTATGTTCATTTGGTTGCTTGAGCTGAATACTAACTTTTCATGTGTTGCTTTTATTTCTAGAATCCACAGATTCCACAGGGATAGACACTGACAAGGAGAAATATATGCTAAATGACAGGGGTAAATAAATGTATACAGTGTCACTAGATGGAATGGCTTTTCAGATTATTATGCAATTTATCACGTAATTTGCATTTTATGTAACAAATAGTTTGTTTGATGATGTCTTTACTGTCACAAGTTAAGTGGAATTAATGGAGGAAAACATACTGAGCTGCTGTTGAGGAAACCAGTGCCAGGAAATTCAAGAGACTGTAGAGTTCAATCAAATATTTACAATGGTGTTTTTACTTGTTGTTATAGTTGAACTCTTCATTTCCCATAATTTCTTCAGTGCTTCAATAGTGATGTGAATTCATGCTGCTGTCATTTTGCATAAGGCCATCAATAATATTTTTATATAACTAATTTTTTTTCCCCACTTTTTTAAGCTTTCAATTTAAGTACAAATCATTTGAAAATGAAGACAGAAGTGAAGATGAGCAAGGGTGAACTTAAATATATTTTCCTTAAGAAAATATATTATTTTTTTTTCCCCTTCCTTTGTTCAGTGCCTGGATTTGGGAGGCAAATGTTTTATTGACTGAAATGTATTTTGGAAAGGAATTTAAGACATGAAAGAAAGCTCAAGATTTTTCAAAATTTATAATGGAACAATTTTGTCATTTAAGTGTAATTGTTATTTTGTTTAGAAACTTGGATACAATTATGACAGAATAAAAGCACCTTCTATGAACTATGCCTTTTTGACAGTCTGCCCCTGAGAGAAAACAAATGAGGGGCAGAAACACGGTTTAACTCCATGTATATTTTTGCCTGTGTTGTTGTTACTTTGAATATTAAACTGGATTGCTATTTAGATTTTTCATATTGCCGTTACTGACTGCGGGATAACAGTGCTTGGAAAATAAGAGAATTAAATAAATTCTGTTCTTACTCAAGTTGATGAAAGAGCTGACCTCGAGCTGGAGATCGTCCATCTGATAGCCACCCTTACTGGGAGATTAGAGCTGAAGGAGCAACCAAGTCCTTGCTTCTTTGCCGTTTCTCCAATGTCCTGTCTGCACATTCAGCTCCACTGATTTCTTAGCCTGCAGTACATTTGTCCTTAAATTGACAGGTGCAGTCTAATTGTATCTATATTTATAGTGGAGTAGTGAAGACTGCAGTAAATAGATAATAAGCAGATAGAAATCTTTATGAGGTTTTGTCTGTGGATAAGTATGAATTAGAAAGGTTTTATTGAACATTATTACTGAACATCAACATTAAATGGTGTGTAATTCCAGGCAGGCACATGAAGGAAATGTTTCTAGGGGGAGATTTGTTTTAGGTGTGTATGTAGCTCTGCATTTCACCTTCCAGCACATCTGTAAACAGGAACAGTAGAATTCACAAAAGTGGAATTTGTGGAACATTTCTGGGGAAAAAAAACCCCAAACCCTTAAAAATCTACTTCTAAAGGACTTACATGATGTACTCTGACCCACAGGCAGTGCATTGGCCCCATGGGGGCTATTTATGAAGTGAAATGCTATATACTCTGTGGTGAGGTCCCACCAGTTTGGCTAGTATTTTGTTGTGGTGTTTAAAGGGCTTTTTGCACAAAATTTTAGAGTGAGAAGACATCTAAGGAAGCTTTTACTTAAGTTTTCGTAGGATACAGCTGGATGAACAGAGGCGAACAGTGAGTGGTGTCAAAACAGCTGCAGTAAAAATTAATTACACAATAGTAAATGTGCTTCATAGTACATTAGCTACAGAACATACATAACTGTGTGTTAACTTCACTTGAATACACTTAATTGTGCACATTAATAACAACTGATGATTTATGAGCTGAGCTGAACTTCCACTGCTCTGTTCTGTCTTAATCTGTTTCCTTTTTCATTTTCTTTAGGTCCAGTGTTTTTCATCACTTGTTTTAGTGTTGCTGCAGGATTTGCATTACTTTGGTATTGCTGTACCTCAGGTAACCTACACCAGTGTTTTTTCTCTTGGATGCCTTCCTTGAGCGTGGGACCAGGAGAGCAGAGTGCGCCTCTTGATCTAACACGGCTTACTTAATAGAGCAGGTCAAGGTGTCATCATTCCTTAATGAGGTTAGGATACAAGTTGTGCTTCAGACATGCGGCGATATCAATAATGGATAGTTTGCCTACAGAGGATGCCACAAATAGGGGCTCATTTTAAAGGCAGTAGTCATGTGAGCTCCTGTTGCTATAGCAGTGGGTCATGATTCCCAGCAGTCATGAGACAGACAGAGCTCGAGCAGCTACAGCCGTTGCCCCTGTTGCTGGCTCTAGACATTTGCTCTCCCCATCAGCTGGAAGTCGCCAGCATCACAGCAGCCAGCAGAGCAGAGCTCCTGCTCCTCTTCACAGTTCTGCCTTCCACGCACACTACTCTCAGCAAGGCAGCTCTTAGCAGAGGGCCCTGTGGATCAGCTTCAGCGAAGCAGTAAGTCAGTGCTAATGGGAGAGATCCAGGGGCAGAGAGTGTCTGGTTCAGAGGTGTCACATTCTCATGGTGGATGGGAAGCAGAATCCAAACTCGATTTAGGTTCAGTGCCTTCTACTCATACCCTGGTCAGAGCAGTCACAGTTGGATGCTCTGTACTGGTTTTTTTTTTTTCTAAGCTGTGGGCTACAGTAGCACCTGTTCATGGACATTTCAGGAGATGTGGGCTACCTTTCATTCCCAGATCGGAGTGCCTCAGCTGGACTGTCCATGGAGTCAGGATTTAGGGCTGAAAGGGAGCCGATAGACCTTTGAGGCTGACCTGTGTTTCCTTAGCTGCTGTCACAGCTGCTTCATCAGGTTCAGTCCCCAGCATCTAATTAATGTAAGCATTTTCAGAAAAGCATTCAGGGACTGATACCAAAAAAACAGAGAATCCATCACTTCCCTTGATCCCAGTTAATTGTCCATAGCATGAGAAGTGTGTGTCATATTCTGAGTTTGAACTTTTTTCCGCCTTAGCCTACCATTTTTGTCAAGCTTTTCTCTACCAGACTGCAAGCCCCTTAGGCCCTTGTTTCTGCACCAGCTGACATTTCTTATTTTCTCCCTGTGGAGGTCCTGGTGCCACAGGTCAGCTCTCTGTCTTTATTTTTGCTGAAATTATCAGCTCACTTCTCCACGGTTTTTATTCCAAAGCTCTTTTTTTTTCCAGCTCCTGAGATTCTTTCCTGTACCTATGCAATATCTCAGTGCCCCAGGCATAACAGGAACTGGATGTGGTAATTGCAGGCTTGCACCATCCGATGCTGTGCTCAGTTGTAAAGCTGCCCCCTTACCTAACTCAGTAATATCCTCCTTATGTGTCTGACCTTGTGGCAGTGAATCCTACCAGAATCGTAGTTATCCTGTCTTGGCAGTTGATGTATAGAATATGGAAGGAAATGGGCTTTCCTCTAGAGTGATGTTTTTAAGTTGGTTTTGTTTTGTTTTTGTTTTTTTGTAGATTCTGCTTACTAGCTAGAATGAAACTTAACTATGTTCACTTTCTCTTTTTCCTCCTATCTTCATTCTGTTTTAGATACGAAAGCTGTAGGAAGAGCCAGGAAGATCTTGGGCTTTTCTCCCATTATCATAGGAAGACATGTTAGAAATATTTGTATGTTGTATTTGGAAGACATATCAAGAAATTAAGGAAGAGCTGCTTCTTCGCTTTTCTGTACAGTATACCTGCCAATGGAAGACAACGGTGCATGAATATTAGTGTACTATTCTCTCATACCAAAGATTTTGTTAACTTGCTTCCTCAGTAACTGTGTTGCCTCAAGATGTATTCAGAATTTCAGCTTTATACGTTCTTCCTTATGGGAACGGACCTTTTATTTTTGTAAACGCTTGTTTTAAAATTTATCATTTGGTTAAAAAAATATTTTTAATACAAACTTTAAAATTATATCCTAAGTGATCATGGGTCTCAAGCCATGTTTACTTATGTGTTTTATACTGGAACAAAGGGTCATAACTGTTCAAAGAATGCTAGCCTGTCTTTTGTAATAATTAATTTAAGCAAAGCACTTAAAAAGCCACATGCACTCAAAGCCTTACTAAGAAGTGGATCTCCATCTCAGGACTGTCTGTTTTGTTGATAAACATACTGCCTGAGGTCAGGTGGACCCTGGCATCTCTGAAGTTTATCAGTGCCAGTTACCTTTGTGTATGCCTAGTTCTTGCCTCATTTTCTAATCCTCCTGTTTGCACTTCATCCTAGTTTGCCTTATTCACGTTCACACTCAGCTGTTGGTTGTGGCTTGAGTGCTCTGGAACTAGGGCAGACTAGTTCCCAGCCCACTGAGGGTCCTGGGGGCTGGAATCTCTGCTCTGAAGCACTTCAAACTACTCAGGAAACTTCTCAGATTTATTTAGGTTTCCTTTTCCAGTGAAGTGTTTTGGAGCCTGTGTATCTAAGAAACCGAAGTAATCCAAGATGTTTTGCAGGGACTTAAGTGCCATGACATGGGGCTTTTTTTATGGCCAAAAATATGTATACTTACTGAGAGAGCGAGCCTGATGTCATTTGATGATGTTATGCTGGGTTTTTTTTATGTGAGTTGAAACCTGAAAAACTTGGCAGAAACCATTGTAGGACTAAAATTCTTGAGGGAAATGCAGGGAGTCAGGGCTGCAAGTGGAGTCGCTTGGGGTTTTTAGCTTTAGGAACCTAACTGTGGTCCTGCCTAGCTCAGTACAAATGGCTTTCCTCTTCCAGATGGAAGGTGCAGTAGTTCTGACTGGCTGTGAGAAATGACATTTTCAGTGAATTATTCTTCAGTTATCTGCTCAAGAATGTAAGGAGATTGGTAAGACCATGTCTCTCTACTTGGTGAGAATGATGCTTTGTGGCTCTTCATTCACTGACTGGAAAGATTTCTAGATCAAAACAAATGTCACCTGAATAAAAGTTGCAGCTCCATCACAAATTACCATGCACTGGAGGATCCCATGTGAAATTTTAAGTCATTTGGAGTGATTTGCTATAAACAGTCAGATTGGAAACTGTCTTCCAGCTTTATTCGTGCTATTAAAATGTCATCATCTTCTCACTGTATTTCCCTCCAGGACAACACTCACCTGATACAGTAGCAAACATATAGTCCAGATGAGGAATTGAGCACAGGGCCAAATTTTCAAATAAAAGACCCAAAGAGTGTTTGTAGGAAACATCTTGAGAGAGAAAAAAGGGCTTGGAGGACCCTGCTTTTACTTTTCTGGGAAAATGTTTTTACCCATGGCACTGGAGTATGGCTGGGACATGAGCCATATTCCAGAGGTAGCCATAGGCTTTGTTTGGTCAGCACTCCAGAACAGAGGGTGCATCTTGACGGCCATCGCTGGTGTGAGGGCAGCTCCTCTAGAAACGCCCAAATCAGACGGGCTACACAAGTCAGCACAAGCCGCCTGTTTCATCACGGACTGACTCTGGGAAGCTGAGCTCCCGGTTGCTGGTTTGGCACTGTGAGTGGTGCCTCCCACAGCAACACTGATGCTGGCTTGGCTGCTTTTACACAACTGCAGCCACTCCTTGGACTGCAGAGCCAGCGTTCCCCTGGCAGCCCCCCTCAGCATGAGAGCTTTCTGCACAGACAGACATACTCGAGATCAGCGGTGGGCCAGGGCTTAGTAGCCTGATAGCCCAAGTGCTGCATGTGAAACGTGGAAGGAGACAAACGCAGTGCGAACAAAATAATGCCCCACAGAGCTGTGTGCTTGGGGTTTCTTCTCCCCTGACTCTGCTCCACCAGCTCTTGGCATCTCTTCAATCTGATCTCCACAGGGACTCTGATTAGGGAGAAAATGGTGACAGAACTCAGCAAGGGTCCTACAGGACTGGCTCTGCTGCCCTCGTTACACAGCGATCTGCTGTTGTTCTGCCTTCGGACTTGGGAAGTGCTTTAATTATGTTCTGTTGTTATCTCTCTGCCTTGCCTTGTGTTTAAGGTGACAATAGGTTGTTTCTTTTCTCCAGCAAACCAGCTCTCATTGATAACGTTTGAAATTAAATGTTCCCTTCACCACAGCTGCTCACCTCCTATAGCAGCCTCTTTTTAAGGGGACAGAGGGACTAGAATACCTCTGAAATTTAAAAAGGTTTTCAGTCTTTACCTTGAACCCAACTTTGAAACCTCATCAGAGGAATGGTGTTCCATTTCCCACACAAATACACCATTATTCAAAGTAATCGCAACAGTCGTATCTCATTTTCAAGCAGAAACAGAGGCCTTATTGCTGCTGGGCAGATTCTTTCTGTTTAGATTATCCACTGTGTTACCCTTTGAGTAACAGGTTGCAAGTTGTGAACTGTTACTGAAACCTACAGAAGTTAGTGGTCCCTTGTTTACTCTGAAGGTGAAGTTCTGCTACACTTATGGGCTCAAGAATGCCTTGCAGTGCCAGGACCCTCCCTGGTTTGGTAAAACTGCCCTAGGAGCATAGTGGCTGTGCAGCAGGGCATGGTCCTCCCAGTCCTTACACTGAGCAGCTTGCTTGAGCCTCGAAAACCATATGGAATAGGAAAGTTTACTAAAGGCTGTGGCTGTGTTTCTTCCCTTTCTGAGTTTGCTTGAAATGAGGATGCCTCTCAGGGGAAAAATAAAATCCAGGATGAGCTATCCCCAAGGTTAGGGCTGGGAGGAGAGAGGAAATGTAAGTTTTGGTTCATCCCAGTGCTGTTAGTTGAAGGACCTGACAGCAAAGAATAGAAAATAATCTGTTCCTTTATTAGTGGTAGTTTTAAATTTAAGAAGTAAAAGTGAGGCTAACTATAAAATTGGCATGTGCATAGCTCAGGAGATGTTCTTTTTCTTTGAAGATTTTTCTTTCAGAAGCAAATACTGCAGTTTAGTACACTTCCCCACAAGTGCATCTGTGTGGCACATGTGGACAGCGGATGAAGTGATAATTCCACCTTCAGTTCCTGGAGGAAGCCCCAATGTACATGCATGGGAGTCAGGTACTTCTAGGCAAGTACCTGGCTACTAGTATGGCAAGAGGAAAGCCTTACTAGGCAAGCAGTGTTATTTACTTGGAAAAAAATCAAGTAGGGTTTTGGATGAGCCTGCATAGCTGCAGAATTCCAGCTTCCCTATCCACTTGAGAGTAGCTTGGCATTTGCTTCTGAAACTGTACTGGCATTTAGGAATGTGCTTTCCGTCCTGTGCAGGGAAGTTGTCCTGGCTGCAGGTGGTTACATGTGCGCAGAGTTGGGGCCGCTCTTGGGAACGCTGCGGTTCTCCTCCTTCTCTCTGTACGCCTACAGGAGATAATAAAACGCAGCCGTTTTATTACTTTAATTACGTTTTGTTACATAGACTGTGCTCTGCTGCAAGTGCCTTGCACCTGGACCTGCTGCAGCTGCCACCGACGACCGTCCCTTGTTGCTGCTGGGTGATTTGTGCTTGAATGCCAAGGAGAGGGCAGGAGGGATGAGCTTTACACTGGCCAGCCTGGAGGACACCTGATACCTAGCCAAAAATCATCTTCCTTCCCTGTTTTTTTTATTTATGAATGATCTTTTTGATTTAAAGTAAAGCTGAACTGCCTCTGATCATCTTGGTAGGAGCATCGAGATGTCTAGATGGAAGAGCAAGATTTAGCTGGTGTGATAGCCCCCTAATGAGAGTGTGCAGGTGGTTGGCCCGAGCCCTGTAGATAGCTAAGGAGGAGAGAGCACTGGGAAGCACAGTGACAGGTCACACAATGAATTTGCACAATTCCATTTAACAACAGACTGCTATTTAAAGTACTTCAGTGAAGTACACTGTGCCTACAAGCCAGAGCTGGGATAAAGTGTTTATTCGTTCTGGGACATACTGGGCTACTTCATAGCTTCTGGCTGGAGTTTTCAAAGCTGCCAAGGCAAAGTTACTTTTTGTTTCTTTTTTTTTTTTTGTCCTCTCATATTGTAATACATTGAAAGCATATTGGGTCAAAATTTGCAGTTGTGGATTTGCAGTTGTGGATGCTTTTCACTCCTGTTCTGTATGCACAAATGTTATTCCAGAGAGTTGCCATGCCAAAGCTGTGTGATCAGTGGCTGTTACACCAAGAAATGCAAACAGTTCACTGTTCTTCACAGGTCCTGTGTTTTGTAATCATTTCTCCTAACCTACATCTTCTTGAATTCTGTAGACATTAATGTTTTGTTTTGTTTTGTTTTGTTTTGTTTTGTTTTTTAACAGGGTGAAGCTGGCAATTAAATTGAAATAAAAGCTGTACTGAGAAAAAAAATACTGCTGTTTTTCTCGTAGTTAATGCTTTACACTTCCTTCCCGAAGCGCCCCTCAACATGTTGTCTTCTGTGGCTGCTGTCTGCCAACTGACTCCCTACTGGTCTCTGTGGTGTGATGGTTAAATTTCTGGTTTTGGTATTTGTGCTAAGATTTTTAAATGTTTTCATCTGGTTTCAGAGTTCTTTGCAGTTTTTCTGCTAAACTTGTTTAGTTGTCTGAAGTTAAGCTGGACGCATTGGTGCAAGGACTGGGTGTCTTTTGGTTGACCCTTGACTTTGTGTCATTTTGGTAGTCAAATGAATCATTGCCCATCAAGACCTGTGTGGAGTCATACCTGTTCCTGGTATAATGTGTCTTTGAAGCAAGAATGATGATGGCTTACTTTCACCACCCAAAAAGGGACTTCAGGTAAGAAAAACATGCAGAGAAATTTGTTACTGGCCAGTTATGTAAACTTTGAAGGATCTGCAGGTCCAGGTGCTGCTATGGGCAGTGTTCGCGATCCTACCAAAGCAAGGTAGCAGGAGAAGCTTCAGGAGTGTCTCTCCTGATGAGCTGGAATGAGAGTCTCTCACTCCCTTTCCTACTGGCTGGTGTGTGTCTCTGGGGGAAGAGAGAAGGAGCAGTTTTATTGC